ACAGAAAGTAGTGCTGCAGGTCAAAGGTCAGAGATGTAGCTACAGGTCAGAGGTCAGTGCAGATTGAGTACAGCGTTCAGCAGTCATGTGATGTTGTTTTGTTTGTCCACAGAACCGTTTCCATCCTGGGCCACAGTTCTCCTGGTTTTCCTGCTTCTTCTTGTAGTTGTTTCTGCGAGTCTTTTGTTTCATTTCCGTCACGCCTTGGTGTCAGGTGAGTCTCCCATACTACACTACCCATAATGCATGTAGTTAGCAGGCGTCCTCTGGGGTTTCTTGACTTGTTCCGCTAATTTATCCATTAATATGTAAATATTTAATTAGGATATTAATGATGAAAGAACTGCTGTCACAGCCCATTGTTCATCTTACTGCTGTCTTACTCCGTACAGTTTTCTACACATATTTCTGTACATTGTTACCTGCATATACAAACTTCAGTTGCTTATGTAGATAGGACCACTTTGTGTCTTCCTTTTATATCCCCTTGCTATAAGAGTTGTGTAACACCCACATTTCTCATTCGTGGGATCATAGTTTTTTGTATTCTTTTCAAATTCCACCAGTAAGATTGGGGAGACCTTTTTCCATTACATTAGCCTGTCCCTGCTGGTGGTGTCGTTCAAACAGAAAACAAGTCTTTGTTAGTCTGTAGATGTTGGAGGAGCTCCTCTCAGAGAGTCTGCAGGACAGCTTGGTCTGAAAGCTCCTCCTGTGTCCTCGAGGATCAGAGTGTAAAATGAGAAGTGAACAAACACCTGCTGAACTTTGACCTCCAGGAGAAAACCTGATAACGATCCCCCTGTGAGAACAGCGAGATCTGCTCTGAGCTGCTCCGTAAACACAAATCAGACTTTGTACGTTAGATTGTTTGAACCTCCAGCATTCAGTGAAGCTACAGATGGATGATTCAAACAGGACATGGCATTTCTCTACACCTCTGAAAACCTGCTGCTGTCTGTGTTTGCTGTTCTTTCAGTGATTCCAGTGAAGGTGGAGGTGGAGGAGGGGG